CCATCTCATCCATGCCCTTTTTGCTAACACCCTTATGCTTAGACTTCGTGGTCTTATCTGCTAAGACATAGTGGTAAAACTTAGCTCGGATGTGAAATGATTCTGTGATTACATTACCTGGGGTCTCATCTTTAAACTTGCCAATAGTTACATGCCTATTAAGGGCAAAGATGTCTGATCGCTCTGCCATATCTTTATAGATATCTTCGGTCTCAACTACAAATATAAGGAATCAGTATCCATATATCCAAGTCTAACCTTATCCCCATATTTCTTTTTCACATAATCATACCAGAAGTGGTACATTAGAAGCTTGCTAAGTCCCAAAATGGATGCTCCAACTATGATAGGTTTATTGAGAACTACGCTGGCCTTTTCCATATGTGCGCCTACTAGTGTATCTTCAAGCGGTCTGCCATATTTGAAGTTCGGACTTCGGATTTTCTTGAGTAACTTCTTTTCATCTAATTCATTATTACAGGCCATGATCTTAACATCCTGATACTTTCGGACATTTTCCATAGTCTTGCCATATACTGAATTATTCATGAGCTTGAAGAAGTCTTTTTCAAAAGCATTTTTAGCTTTTTGGCGTAATTTAGTATTTTTTGCAATATATGGAGCTAACCAGTTCGTCTGGTTAAATGATAAGATCTCTGTGACCTCATCTACAATCATGCCCAACTTTATATAATACTGGAGCTCTTGATAATGAATGACATAATTTTTTCGTAGACCAAGATGGGGGACTAATTTTTCTGTTGCATAGAATCGTCCACCATCCATATCATTCACAAGATTAGCATTGTATAGGCATAGCATATCCTTTTTTACTGTGATATTTTCCACAGCTAGAGGTAAGTCACTCAAATAGTTGTGAGTCTTTAGGGGGAAATGGGAATTAATCATTAAGTAGAATCCACGTGATGCATCTGCTCCAGTCTTGAGAATCATTTCGAGATATTTCTTTTGCATCTTAGGATTATTCTTTAGATATTCTCGACTAGCAACCCACTTATAATTTCCAATTGGAAGAAATTGGCTCATAGCTCAACCATAAAGATTATTCGCATTGACATAGGAGATCCATGTTGTGGGTTAGGATGGATCGAATTCATCTTCCATATTAGGATTATTTGTCTTGAAATGTTTATATACTGCTATAACAATACCACCACGCTTTGCCTTTTCAATGAAGTCATGCATTGCCATTTCTGTAAATAGCTCAATTTTGACCTTGGTCATCTTAAGCATAACATCCCAGGATAGAGAAGATGCGGATACATAATGGCTGGGATCAAGGCTATAATGACGTATAGATATCTTTCTAAATGTTGTCCAGACATCTGCTAGACTAAGCATGTCTATTTAAGATAGAGATCATTATATTCTCCCAAGTTTTTGCATCCAAATTCCTTCTATACCTTCTGGGCATGCTTATAATCCTCTTGAGAAATCTTACCTTCAAGGATACTATGAAATTCTTGAATTAGAGGTAGTTCTGTTTCCTTAAATCGGTCATGAGAAGTAATATACTCATGAGGAAAGATCCCTTTGTGATATGCTAGGGAAATCTGTTTAGAGGAATAGCCTTGCTTCTTGAAATACTCAGTTGTAATTGGGTGGTCATCACCC